TTTTTTTTTTTTCCCCTACAGGGGGCCGGGGTCCCGGGTGCCGACCCCCGGAACCCCGGAACCCCGGCGGGGTCCCGGGGCCGGGGTTCGACAACCCTGGCCATCACGAATGCGAGCAGCTCCTTCTTCCTTGCATCATCAAGCGAGTTGATGGGAGGCACTTTGTGGCTGAAATACTCCACAGGGTGCCAGTCGTCGTCGTCGTGCTGTTCCAAGACTGCCCGAATGCCATAGCCGGAAGCGTCCGTAGTCACTCGCGTCGGCAAGGTGGGGTCATAGATGCTAAGGACGGGTGCCATCAGCATAGCCGTCTTAAGTGCTTGGAATGAGCGGCGTGCATCGTCATCGAATACGAATGGCACCTTTGGCGACTGTAACCTCGTCATAGGTGCAGCAATCCTGGAGTATCCAGTGATGAATCGCTGATAGTAGCCCGCCAATCCCATGAATGAACGAACGTCCGTGGTGTTGGTGGGCTCGGGCCATACTCGTAAGGCCTCGATCTTGTCTGCGAGCGGACGGATGCCTTGCGGCGTCACATAGTGTCCCAAGTACTCCAGCTCCTGCTGTACGAACTCACACTTGTCGCGGCTTGCTTTGTACTTGGCTTGTCGTAGCCGCTCCAAAACGGTGCGCAGGTGCTCCACATGCTCGTCCAAACTCCGACTATACACCAAGATGTCGTCGAGGTAGAGTACAAACTGATCCAGCATGTGTCGGAACTCCATTGTCATAGCCGCTTGGAAAGTGGTTGGGGCATTCGTAAGGCCAAACGACACGACCAGCCATTCGAAATGCCCGTACCGTGTCTTGAACACGGTCTTGTAGCAATCCTCCTTGCGAATCTCGAATTGGTGGTACCCTGACTTGAGATCCAGCTTAGAGAAAAACTGGGCGCTGCCCAATCGCTCGAGAAGATCATCGATGCGTGGGAGAGGGCCGACGTTCCTGATCGTCTGCGCGTTGAGCTTGCGATAATCGATGCACAACCGCAGGTCCTTGTTCTTCTTCCGGACGAAGAGAACAGGAGCACCGTATGGCGATGAGCTAGGCCGAATCCAGCCTTTCTCTAGAAGGTCGTCGAGTTGTGCCCGAAGCACACTTAACTCCTCCTCGCTCATTCGGTAGATGCAACCGCGCGGAGGTACGGCCCCGTCCTCGAGGATGATCTCGTGGCGGATGGGTCGATCCGGTGCTACTCCGTGCGGGCCTTCGAACACGTCACTGTAGGCGTCGAGAAGCTCGGTGATGCGTGAATCTGAAGATGAAGCGTCATGGGGCAGAAGGGGGTGGAGAAAACACACCCCCATCTCCTCGATGTCATCTCTGATGATGGAAACTCGCATGCTTGCGGCAGATACCACGTGGCAGTTGATCGAAGGATGAGGAAGAGGTACCGTGCATGGAACTAATACTCCGTTCCGATCACGAATGTGAACGGTGCGGTGGAAGAAGTTCACCGGGTGATCCTCGCTTCGCAGCCATGATATGCCCAAGATCATGTCAAATTTGGTGTCCAGAATATCACAGGACACCCCCTCACTTGCGTGAGGGGCAAAGTACACTGGGACGCTGTCAATGCACCGGTCGATTGACTTGTGCGTGTAATCGTCCGCCAATGTGACTTGCGTAGGTTGGGGCTTCCTCCGGACGCATTTGCCAAGGCCGGCGCGCACCGCAATCGATCAAGGCACTGCAGGTCGCCTCTCCGATCTGAATGCGTATGTATAGCAATGGTGCGTTGATGTCGTCGTACCGTTGCGTCTTGAACTCACGGTCGATCTTCGCGATGTAAGCGTGAAGGTCGACAACCTCTGCTCCGGCGTCCATCAACGGAGCTGGTACTGCAGTGTGCAAGTAATCTCGCAGTTGTGCCATGAGCACATTGCAATGCGGTTTCGGCAATCGTCCGGTCGGGGGGACGGGCATCCACTTGAAGTCCGTGAACGTCAATGGGTCGAGCTCTTCAAGTCTTGACCATGACATCGAATCCCCGGCGATAGATTGCGGCGAAGGTGCCGAATCGGTTGCCGATGGTGATGAAACCGTGCATGCGATGGATTGTTGCACGTGGAGCGGTTGGTCCAGTGGTGGAACCAAGTGGACAGCATAGTCCTCGTAAGTGTATCGAGGACTTGCGACATTCGCGTTCTCCCCAGATGTGCAGGAGGCCGCTAGCAAGGCGGCCGAATCTGGCGGAGTAGAAGGTGGAGTCGCCTCACCTTCCGCGGAGCTCAGTTTCCCGAGCTGAGGCGGGGTCGCACATCCTCCTTGCCCTGATCTTGGCACAGGGAGGTCTTGTGCTTGGTGCTGTTGCACCAATAGCAGCTGCCATAGCGGCTGCGGACCTTGTACTCTGCCTCGGTCAAGCCAAACTTGACCCATGGAACTTGTACTGGCTGTCCATTTCCTGCCTGCGATGCGGATTTCGCCTTCCCATTGTTGCGGGACTTGTTGTTGCTTCACGGTTGGACAGCAGCCACCTGATCTCCGTCACTTGATGCTGGAGTGGTTGCTGGGTTATCTCCACTGTCCGACTGGACTGCAGCGAACTGCTGCTGTCGCGGACCAGTTCGTACCTTCTTCACATAGGTTGGCTGCCACGTGGACTTCTCGTGTGCAGCCGGCCTGTTAGTCTTGATGAGCTCTCTCGCCTTGTTGATGATCTCTGCGAAAGTGTGGTACTGCTCGCGATCACCAAGTGCGAGGCTGAGAGCTGCGCATGACCTGTTGTAGAACTCACACCGCAGATGCGGAAATGACAAGTCCAAATAGGGCGTCGCCATGATTTTCTGCCAATCCATGAGCCAGTCATGTGTCGGTGTGCTCCCTTGAGCCATCGTGAAGATGCGGTTGACGGCGAGTGTCGGGGCATCGTCGACGATGAACCGCTTTTTCCATTCCTTTGTCATGTCCTCCCAGGAGACCTTCTTGTACAGGTCTGAAACCTGGACGCCGTGGATGGTTGCCATGTGGTTGAGCTAGATCTGACAACCTCCCTTGGTGTTGATGAACAGAGCACTGATGAACAGATGGTCAGGGAGTTCGTGAATCCCCAACTCTGTTGTAAATCCTTGCCACCAGACGGCCGGGTCTTGATATGTGTAGTCATCAAATTTCTCGATCCGGAACGTCGGCATCTTGTATGGCCTCGCCGAGATGTTGTTGTGGTTGTGCTCAGTCTGCTGTTCCTGAATGATCTTAGTGTCCAGCAACTCGAACCGCTGGCTGATGGTGGCCGGCTCTGTGAAGGCACTTATGTCTCCTAGCATTGCCACTACGTAGTCAACGCGTTCCTCTAGTTGGCGGCTAGAGGATCCACTGCTGGAAGCTCCAGCATCTGGTCCTGGTACAGCCTGTTCCAGGCCCAGTACACGGGCGTCCAATGCCCATGTGGCATCCTTGTGTTGAGTCTTGTGATTCCGCACGGCCCGCTGGAGGTTTGCCAACTCGGAGTGTAGGTGGTTACATGTGTAAACCAACCTGCTCACGAGCTTGGCCATGAGTTCCTTTTGCTGTTCTTCCGGTGTTGGCTCGTCGCCGTTCGGTTCAAAGTGTTAGTACTTGAGTTTCTCGATGCTGTTGGCTTCATGCCGCTGCAGCAAAGCCTGGGCATCTGCGTCTGCTTCGGCCTGTAGCCGCAACTTTTCTGCTGTTGCCGCTTCTTCAGCTTGTAGCTGGGCAGCCTTAACTGCCAGCTGGCGTTGTTCCTCGGCCTCGATTGCAGCGAGCTGAGCATGGACGCGCTTTTTGTAGTCAGCAATGGGCTCATTGGCCAGTTGGCCTGGCAGGCCCGTCATGCTGCTGACGTGGCACTACTGACGTGGACTTTGTCTGACGTGGCACTGTGTCTGTCGTGGCACTGCTCATGTGGCACTGCTTATGTGGCACTGTGTTTGACGTGGCACTGCTTACGTGGCACTGTGTCTGACGTGGCACTGCTGATGTGGCACTGCTTACGTGGCACTGTGTCTGACGTGGCACTGCTGACGNCTGCTTACGTGGCACTGTGTCTGACGTGGCACTGCTGATGTGGCACTGCTTACGTGGCACTGTGTCTGACGTGGCACTGCTGACGTGGCACTGCTGACGTGGCACTGAGTCTTACGTGGCACTGTGACCTGGCACTGCTGACGTGGCACTGCTGACGTGGCACTGTGACCTGACACTGTGACGTGGCACTGCTGACGTGGCATTGCTGATCTGGCACTATGACGTGGCACTGTACCGAACCGGGATGCATGCAAGGGGTGGGTGGGAGGGAAAACGTAGGTAGGTAACCAACCCAACAATACTTTCCTCTGGCCCTAATCAACAGATAAAATAAAATAAAAAATAAAAGAGGACTACTTCCCTTTTTTTTTTTTATATATATATCTGTCGATTTATGATGAGTAGGATATATAAGAAGAGTATTATGAACGAGATCTAGGCTAGGTGCCGCAAAGTTTCGGCTTTTACAAACTGCGATCTTGAAAAAAAAAAATGCGAAATGGAGTAAAGATGCGATTTTCAAAAAAGAACGAAATCCAGTTTCTGAGAATATAGCAACCTCCGAATATGCCTAACGCAATATTGGTAGGCTTCGCAAGATTCGGTTTTCAAAAAAAATTTGCAAGATAGAATGAAAATGCGATTTTCAGAAAAGAATAATTTCAGTTTCCGAGAATATAACCACTTCTATCGTTATCCTAATATGCCTAGGGAACGAAAATACTAACTTCAGAAATTTCAGCTATGTATGCGAAATATCAGAGAAACGAAATGCTACTATCGGGAATTTTCAGACAAAACGAAATGCGATTTATCAGAAATTTTCAGATATTTGCTAAGTAAAAACGAACTACTAATATCAGAAATTTCAGATAGTTGTTGCGAGGAAAAGAAAAAAAAATTCAGAGATTTGACTAAGTCCTACTTGCGTTACTAATGAGTGATCAATAGATCGCAAGCTGGCTACTTGATTGAGCGGGTCCTCTGAATGAGAGGTCCGCTCCGATACCAAACTGTTGCATACTGTAACGTGCAGACCAGAACAAGAACCGGCCTTTCCATACAAAGTATAAGATAGCACAACGGAAGACTTAGATACCAGTGATCCTAACAATCAATGTTGCAATGCTGTCCTGAACTTACCTCATCATCATCGTTACATGGTGTGAATGAGGCCTGGTGCTTCACACAAGAAGACTGTGCCAGCCCATACCATACACAGACGAAGAGGAAGGGGATACACGAAGAGGAGGGGGAAGATGGGAATGTCGTCAACACCAAGTCTTCGGCACAAGCCCAAATAGTCCCTCGTCGAAATGTCTGAATCCCAAATGTCAAGTCTGGATCCAATGTCGTCAAGTCTCAAGTCACGACTCGTCTCTCTCTGTTGTAGTCTGAGAAATCAGGTGGCGAGAGGATGAGAAGAGAAGGTGGACTTAGAAGAGGAAGAAGAAGAACTCTYTCTCTCTCTCTGTGTCCAGTACTAACCTGTGAAGTTGGCGCCTTGATGCAGGTACCACGAAGATGGAGCTGGAGCGATGGCGCCACAGGTAAGTATCACTGGCCTCCGCCAGTCTCTCTCCCACTCTACGATCTACCACCTACCAGCGCCCAGCACTGAAGACTACAGCTACAGCTATGGCGCCCAGCGCCGAAGACTACAGCTAGCGCTAATACCACCTAGCGCTGAAGACTACTGCAACGCTCCTCCTGAGTGCTGCGGTCGAAATCCTAAAGACTACCTCGTGCCTACTGAACTACCTACCCGTGAAGGGCATGGGAACTTCCTATGTACTACCGGGTGTGCCTTCTGAGCCTGCCGAAGGGAGGCAGGGGCTGCAGCTGCAGCTCCTGCTCAAACTCGTGAGGAACAGGCTATTCTTGGCATGTTCCGCATCCCTGTTTACGTGCCTGAGTCTTAGGGGCAGGTCGAAACAATGAGGGCCTGAAAATGGCCCTCCATTTCAGGCTGAAAACTCTGGGTCTGAAAAGACCCAGAAATAGGCTGAAACGGGGTAGGGCCTGCAGACCCTCGTTTTTCAGCTTTCGGGCTGAAACAACCGGGGCTTGTAAGCCCTAAGTTTTAGGCTTTTAGGCTGAATGTCCGGGACGGGCCCTGCAGGGCCCGTGTGGCTACGCAGTATGCCACAACTCTGCTACTGGTAGAGCTCCCTATTTAAACTTAGGCTAGTTCTCTCGTTGCAGGGTTCCCTACCACCGACAGTGGGTGGGGAGGGAAAGGGTTCCCGAAGTCGTCCTGAATGGGATCCCAGAGTCGATGACCGTCCAATCGTGAAACTGCAGTCTGTATTCCCGCTTCATCTCCTAAGGATGCTCCTCCTCTGTCGTTCGCTGGTCTGTCTGTTCATCCCCCGACCATGTCACCTTGGCTATCCAGCCCCCCCTCTTCCCTCCCAGCCATTCTTCGTCGAAGCGAGAAATAATCCGATCCACATCCTTCTTAAAATGTACACTGTCCTGCCTTTCCGTCGCAGCCTGCCAGCGAACGGTAATCTCGGTTTGCACCAGCTGTTTAAGCTGTTCTGTGAACTCCCCCTCCTCCACTCTGGCTCCCTCCATTTCCAGAACACACCTCCTCCACCAGATTACCCAAAGTATGGATCTTCTGTCCAGATGGAAGAGGTTCCAAGCGCACTCACCTATTGGAAAATTTGGGCAATGCCCCAACAATATCGCCCTCCAATCCCATGGCCACAGTAATTCTGGAAACATCTGCCGCCAGATCCTGTCCCACCACCGCCAAAGCAATACAGACGATGGGCACTGCATAAAGATGTGTTTCACCGTCTCCGGCCTCTTTTGTGGGGGGAGGCTGGATATGCACTTTCGACACCATGGCAGAGCACGGCCTTGCTGCTCCAACCGGGTGTGGTCAATCAGCTTGTCATTTGTGGGTAGGCAGCGCTGGGCTATTTGCCGTTGTAGCAAGACATCTTTGCTGGTCTTTAACATCCTGTATGCCGTTTTTGTCCCCTCTTTTGGCCACCGTATTCCCTCGCTTCCACCTCCATTCCCCAGGATCCAAGTGCAGTTCCCCGAGTGGAGTCTCGGGTCTGGAAGCCCTGCACCCCGTGTCCTCCTCAATCACCTTGTCAGTGATATGGTAGACCTCCTTTCTTCTCCTCCATTCGAAGGGTTGCCTGCTCCCCGTTAACCGGGCGTTCCTTCCTATCGCAAAATATTCCACCAACACCTCTTCCCGCCCCACCAGGTGGACCCGTCCCACCTGGTTTGTCTTCCCTGCCAGACCAACCCAGTCGCCTTCCTCCAGGTGGGGGCCTCTCCTCAGAATAGCATACCATGTCAGCGAGAGGCTTTCTATCAATTCCTCCAGTGCTTCCCGAGTCCGGTGACAATAGCGCAGTCACCTTCTCATTCGTTTTGTGCTCTTCCATCCTCTGGCTTCTGCATCCCACAAATCCCTACCCTTAGCACCCCGTGCTTCACCCACCCTTTCCATGGGGTTTCAGAACTGCATCTCACTTGTCCACAAGAGTCAGTGATCCTTATTTCCGAAGAGGGGTTGTCTTTAGACTTCCTCCCACTTATCTGGAGTTGGCCTGAAGGGCAAAGGGAGTTTTCTTCATGCCTTTAGCAGACGTGGCCATAATTCCTCCGCCGTCTCTTCATTCCTATATCTTTGCGGGATGCGCCAGAATCTATCGTCAAGGCACACCAACGGATCGATCTTTGGGTGGGTTTCTGGGGCGAGGTCTGCTATTTGTGCCAAAGCCAGAGGGATCCAGGGTGAGGAGGGCTAAAAAAGCGGGGTCTGGATCCATCTTAGACTGAGGGCCGGAAGTTGGATATCGGGGTCTATGATCCCCAAGCCTCCCCGAGCTTTGGGCTCGGTTACCGAATCCCATGCTACCCGGCTAATTGCATGCGGTACCCTACTATTTCCTCTCCTGTTGGTGAAGGTTACCCAAGGGGTGAAAAGTGAGGGTACCTGTTAACCATTTATGCGAGACAAGAAGGCTGCTAGCTGCCTCTTGAGGGCCCTGAGCCCAAGTCTAGAAAGCGGCCAAAGCACCGACTTATACCATAAAGCAGCCAAAACTGCATTGTTAATCACCAGGG